TCTACCAAACCCACTGCCATCAAGTCCATTCCAATTCACACAGAGCAGAACTCCACATAGGGTTTCCAAGGCTGTAATTTCCAAGGCTGTAAATCTTTAATTTTTCCAAGGCTGTGATCTGCCACCTCTTTCTCCTGCAGAGCAGGCTGGTGGGTTCAAACCCACCTTTTGGTTAGCAGCTTAACCACTGTGCCACCAGGGCCCCTAACCTCTCCGAGGTCCCAAACTTCTGAGTAGCCTCCTGCTATTTACAGAGTGGCCACAAGAGCTCAAGTGGTGTACAGACTCACTGAGGTGGGTGTATGCGCCCCATTTTACTCAGGCAGAAGTTGAGGCGTGCTGTGATCAGGCAAGGTCAATGTATGTGGGTCCTCCAGACTCCAGAGCTGGCGTGCTCCCGGCGCCCTTTGAGCGGCACTCTTTGACCCCTGGCAGGAGTGGGAGGGGGTCTTGGACCTAAGTGGGTGATTCGGCATTGTCGCTTCCATGTAACTTCCTCCGCTGGGGACTCTCAAGCCAACTTAATCCCGCATGCGTGGGCGCTGCCCCAGCTGAGCCAGCCCTGAACAGGGACTACGCAATTACCCTCCAACCATTCATTCGTTCATTCACGATTCTTTCGTTCATCTTCCAATCAGCAGAGATTTACCGTGCAGTGACTAAGTGGCAAGCACTGTCCTCCATCGTCCGCACTGGCACCAAGGAGACAGTGGCCATCGACTCAGTTCTAGTAAGAAAGACAATAAATCAAGAAAATCGACAGATGTGGAGCTCGTGTCAGAGCAGATGTGGCAGAGCATGGTTGGGGGGGTCCTCCCCCAGGAGACGGTGCTGAGTGCTGGGTGCCTTGAAGATGGTGCCTTGAACAGGGCTCCCGGCCACCCCTACCCTAGCCTCACCCCGCTGCAGGACTGGCCCTAAGAGAGGGAAGCTGAGCCCCTCAGGGACTGAGCAAGAAAGGGGTGGGGGTAGCTAGGGGTGCACCAGCTGGGAGCTGGGGACGCAGGCCCCGAAGCAGAAGAATGAACCGCCGCCCGCGGGCCCGTTCCTCCTTCGCAGTGACATCGCGAGTGTGCATTGATACCGCCTGGCGTGTCAAAGGCGGCGACAGCGCCGCGAGGCAAACTGCGAGCTATGAGGATCCTTAGCGGAGGGGCAAGAGAACTCACCTGGGAAGCAGAGCCCGAGGCTAGAACTCAGCTTCCGCTTGAGTCGTGACCGCTGAGAGGGTGTACTGCACCCTCGCGGGGGAACAGCGTGGGAGCGGCTCTGTGGTCAGCTATGGATGGAGGGGTGAATGGATGGACCGATGGAGGAACGAATGCTTGAACTCACTCAGAAATAACCAGCTGCACTTATTATTACTGCTTTTTCTGGAAAGGTGAGTTGGAAAAGAATGCGTGAGTTTCCACTCCCAAGTTCAAACGTCACTCCCAGAATGTTCTCCCGCGGACGCAGGCAAACCCACCGCACGTTCTACCTTGCAGGCACAGGCTCCTTCTCCCTTACTCCATCTACAGAGTAAAAGGGTAGAAGGCCCCCTGGGGCTCTCCAACCAGAGTCGATTCCAAGAATGCTTAGGGTTTGAACCCCGGGTGACCAGGAAAAGACTGAATAATGATTAAACGACCAAACAGCTAATAACAGCAAGAGGTGGAGACCGAGGACACGCGACGCGCAAAGCGTGCGGCTGTTCTGTGCTTTTAGTGCGCGTGGCATGGGGACTACGGGTAGTACGAATGTACCTGCCATCGTACCTGTCCCTCCCCAGTCTCTCCCCAGGCCTCCTGCTTCTCCCAGTCTTCCCCTCCTACCTAGGCCAGGAATGGGGGAGTGGGTGCCTTTACCTTCCCGGGGCGCCTTGCAAGCAGCTTCCAGTAGCATCGAACTGAGCGCCCTGCTTGTTCAGAACTCTTCTCCTTAGCAAAATGAGCCTCCAAACCCTGGGAAACCATACGCCGTTTTCATTTATTCATGCAACACACATTTTAATGAGCATTTGAGATGTGCCAGGCCCTGCGGTGAACCAGACAGGCCTAGCTCCTGCTTTCAGAACGCACAGGCCCGGGAGGAACCTCCGCTCTCGTCATTTTTCTCTTGATTCATGGAAAGGGGACCAGTTGGCCTTGGTTCCGGAAAACCAAAGATGGTCGGAACTTAATGCCACGCTGTACAGTGGAAGGAACAGAGGGATTAGAATCGGACAACCCTGGCCTTCATATTTTGTTCCGCAAATATTTGTGTGGCGCAGGTGCGGGGGGCGACTTCCCTCCCAGAACCTCAGAGCGGTGGGGCAGAGAAATAGGTACCCCAGGAAATGCAAGGAAGAAGAGAGCCACGAAATGTGGGACAGAGGTGAACCAATAGGAGCGTCCATGCATTCTGCTCAAAGTGTCAGCTGGACATAGGCATAGGAGTGGGCTTGAGGGAATTCCGGGTAATGGGAACCACCCTTGCAATGGTGCACAGGAGAGAAAATTTAGCAGGGTCTACCAAACCAAACCCACTGCCATTGAATTGATTCTGACTTATGGCAGCCCCCATTAGGTTTCTGAGGCAGTAAATCTTTATGGAAGTAGATTGTCCCATCTTCCTTCCATGGAGGGGCTGGTAGGTTTGAACCACCAACCTTTGGGTTAGCAGTCAAATGTCTTAGGCACTGGGCTATCAGAGCTCCTTTAGCAGAGCCTAGGGACTGCAAAACTTCAGCTGGACAAGAACACTTGCAAAGATGGCAGGCTCACCCACTTTTTGGTGTTTAAACCAAAACCAACCGCACTGCCGTCAAGCCAGTTCTGACTCACAGCGACCCCTCCATGGGTTTCCCAGGCGGTATCTCTAGGAAGTAGATTGCCCAATCTTCCTTCCAAGGAGTGGCTGGTGAGTTTGAACTTCCAGCCTTTAAGTTAGCAGTCAAACGCCTTAAGCGCTGAGCCACCCATTAGAAGATCAGTTGATTTCTTCGAGTCCCCCTCTACCAATCTGCAAAATGGGTGTGACGCGCGTCTCCAGACCCTTGCGGTAGCCTCGGAGAATGATCAGGCTTGTGGATGGCTTCGGCACAAAAGGCTCTCACGTGGTTTAAGTCTGAGGCTGAGTGGCTCTGGTCCCGCCGGGTGACGGGGGAGGGGCTCGGGCCTGCGGGCCCCTGGCCGTGGTTTGTGGAATATCTTTATTAACGAGCACTTCAAGGTAAGCGGGCGATGGAAACCAGATGTGGGAGCGCGCGCGGTCGGCGGCAGAGCAAGGGCAAGAGATATCAAGGGGTGGAATGGGGGATGAGGATTAGCCCCGATGAGGTTGGGGGTAGAAGCACAGCCCCCAGATATTTTTCCCCCTTTGGGGGACCTTAGGCGAACAAACTTGACTTACATTCCTAGATTCAGGGCGCTCAGGCTCTCTCATTTTATTTTCCCCTTTCACCTCTTCCCCCACTCTCAGCCCCCCTTGAGGTACGTCCTTGATCCCCGGATTTTCCTTGTGGTTTAAGCATGGTTTTTCTAACTGATCTCCTCCAATCTGAGCCATTCCGCAGTCCGAGAGCCACTTCCTCTTTTCATTGCAGGCTTCGCTGTCGGCATCGTCTTTCCCAGTCCTTGGAGGTAGTAGCCTCAATATGATGGGCTGCTACTCTGCTACTTCCCAGCTGTGTGACCTTGGCCAGGTGACTGCCCCACTCTGAGCCTCGGCTTGCTCATCGGAAAATTGGGATCCCGATCACCATCACTCACAGTTGTTTTCAGATGCAATGGCTACTTAACCGTGTGGAAGGCGCTCGATGAGGGGTGAAAGTGCTTTCCCCTAGCTGCGGCAGGTCCGAGGGCCCGAGGCGCGCCCCGGTGGGGGAAATCACAGCTCATCACATCCAAGTCATTCATTTCACAGTTAGGGACAGTGAGGCCAGGTTGGGAAAGGACTGCCCCGCGCAATAAGCAGGTGACAAGGTAAAGATAGGGCGAGGCTAGGGATTCTCTGAACTCCTCGCTCTCAACCAGCCAGCTGTCCCCTCTGCTGGGCACAGACATGGAGCCTGCACAGACGGCTCTGCCCCTTGAGGAAGAGGCGGGGAGAGCCGAGGGTTTCTCCCGTGTTCCGTGAACACAGGGCCCTCGGCACCCCTGACTTAAAGTCATTGGGGAGAGTGTAACTAAACAGACGTGAAAGCGACCTTGCCCGGAGCGACTATGTCTTACGTTAATTCCAGAATGAAAGGGAATAGTGAGCAGGAGTTGGAAACAAGAAAAAGGCACCAGTGGGAAGGTTGAGTCCGACAGCTGCACCGCCAAGTTCAAGCGGAAGCGTCCCAATGACTCCTGCACCCGGAGGCCAGCGGTCCATCTGATTCTGAATGTCAATACCTGTTATTATTATTTTTTAACCTGTCACCGACGTTTCGCATGTCCTCCGCCTCAGGCCAAGCTCTGACCAGCCAATTCCCAGCGGACCTCGGGGGCCTAGGGAGTCCTGGCACCTCCCTACTCAGCCTAAGATTGGAAAGACCCTGGGGCGCCCCTCAATTGAATTCCGCCCCCCCCCCCGCACCCCTTAGAGCCTGTTAGTAGCATCTCTTTAAGAGACAGGAAAGGAGGGGCGAGGGCGGGAGCAAGGAGACTGGGGAGGGAGGAGGAGGGAGAGAAGGAGGGGAGAAGGAAGGAGCGAGTCAGGGGAGGAAAAAACTCTTTCTCTCTTTCTTTCTTTCTTTTTCTTTTTCTTTTTCTTTTTTTTTTTTTTTTTTTGTTGCTTCAAAATCTTAAGTGGCTTTGGGAGATCTGGTTAACTTTCCGAAACATCTGAATCTTTTTACAGCCCTCCGTTCTTTCCCTAGGCCAGCTGTGGGGAGGGAGGAGAAAACGGGGGAGGGGAGAGAGAGAGCAGAGAGAGAAAGAGAGAGAGGGAGGGAGACTGGCGTGGAGCTGGAGGAGGGAGCGAACAAGCAGGCCCGCGGAGCTCACAGCCACCACCTCCACGCCTCTCCAAACTCGGAGCCAAGGCGCGCGGTGGCGTCCTCGCTCTCTAGCTCACGCCCCCGCCCGCCGCCCGCCGCCCGCGCACGCCAGGCATGAATGCGGAGACTTGCGTCTCTTACTGCGAGTCGCCGGCCGCTGTCATGGACGCCTACTACAGCCCGGTGTCGCAGAGCCGGGAGGGCTCGTCTCCTTTTAGGGCATTCCCTGGCGGCGACAAGTTCGGTACAACTTTCCTATCGGCCGCCGCCAAAGGTCAGGGCTTCGGGGACGCCAAGAGCCGGGCCTGCTACGGCTCGGGGCAACAAGACCTGGCGCCCCCCATGGAGAGTGGCTCCGGTGCGCGGGGCTCCTTTAACAAGTTCCCGGCCCAGACTCAGCCTCCGGCCCCGCAGCCGCCGCCACCGCAGCCGCAGCCGCAGCCGCAGGCGCCCGCACAGCAGCCGCATCTCTACTTGCAGCGAGGCGCCTGCAAGACGCCCCCGGACGGCAGCGTCAAGCTCCAGGAAGGCAGCGGCGGCCACAACGCGGCCTTGCAGGTCCCCTGCTACGGTGAGTGTGCGCGCGGGTCCCACGGGGCTGGGGACCCGGGACCCGGGGCCCGGGGCTTCGGCAGCAATCAGTACTCCCTCGGCTTGCGGGAGGCAGGAGTCGTCCCGCTGGGGAGGCACGGGACTCGGCTAGGAAAATAAGATCTCCCGCTCCGAGCGAGTCCAGGAATCTGCCCTGCTTCTTCCTATCTCCTGACCTGGGGCGCGGAGCGTTTGCCTTTTAAACTCAATTCGACCTTGTCGCGGTTTCCCCAAGCCACTCACTATGCATTGCCCGAGGAGCCCGATTTGAAACTGATGCTGCGCATCGACCGGCTGGACACTTGCGGCGGGCAGGCGGCGCAGCGCTCCGGAGCGGGACTCCGGGCTGCCGAGGTTTCGCTCTCAGCCGGCCGGAGGCTCCCTGGGTAACGCCGCAGGTGGGAGCTTCACAGGTGCGGAGCCTTGAGCGCGGTCGCTGGAGCGCGCAGGAGAAGCCGCGGCGTAGCGGCGCAACACTGGTGCGGGTCGGGAGACGCCTGGGGTCGGGGAGATCCGAGTCCCGGATTCCGGAGCGTAGCTCGCCGCGGGGAGGAGGGCTCTCCCGGATTCCCGGGCTCCTCTCTCTCAGCGATCTTTGGAGAGAACCGGCCTCGGAACAATAGTTTAGAATTGGGCGGGGAAGCAGGAAGTGCAGGGTTCTAGGCGGCGAGGGGCCGTGGGAAGAGCGAAGCTTTTGAATCCCGCTGTGGACCTACAGGAACCCCGAGGGAGCTGGCCTAAATGACCTCCAAGCCCCCTTGACGCGGCCGTAGGACACAGGCCTGGGCCGCCAGAGCGCAGCGACCGTTCACCTGAGAAAGTCTTTCCAGAGCGGCCTGAGGCTGGGGCAGCTCGGGAGCTTTGGCTTTCCTTCATCCACAGAATTGGGTTCTGTGAGAAGCCCTGAGCTGGAAGAAAAAGGCATGGAGAAGGGAAGGCAAAACTTTCTGGAGCAGTAACCCAAGCTCTCGGGTTGAAGCCTTGGCCTTGGCATTCTGGCCCTGGTGAGAAGCACTGACTGTGCTGACCCAGGTTCATGGAGAAGCAGTAGGCCTGGGGACAGAAGCGAGGCCTTGCTGGAATAACCTTAGGAAAACAGCCCTTGGCAACCACTTCTCACCCTCAAGCTCACTCTCCTGCAGGCTCAAACTAACTCATGGTGGATGTTGACACCCACAAACATACACAGTCATTTGCTTGTCTGCACTTGGGTTCAACACACACACACACACACATCTGCCTCCTGAGCCAACCTGGTCAAACACCAAATACACACACTCATGACCTTGCACACACTCTCAAACCCACAGGAGGACTGAAAGCAGATCTAGAAAGATCCAGTGGCTTATTCCTCTAGTCCCCTGCTTTTCCTATCCACCCTTCTGCTAGAGTGAAATCAGGCACTCGGATCCACAGACACTCCCAGGTACAGACAGCTCCACACAGGTGCCTCCTGCACACTCACTGCAGGCACAGGCCTTCCCAGGCCCAGGGACTCAGGGTCCCCCCTCCAGGAATCACCCACGCCCCTCCTGGTCTCTGCCTTTTGGGACTAATGGGTGAGAATGAGGCACAGACTGGGGGACACATGAATGTTCATTGTGCAAACCCGGGGCCACATGCATTTTTCTTCCCTCTGCACTGGATTTCCATATTTTCAAAAAATTTACCACTTCTGAGGAGGCCAAGGGATCAGGCAGAGAGCCCTAGCATCTCCGAACCTCTTGTTTAGAAGACACCAGATCCCTTCAAGTCCAGAGGGAAAGGAAAGAGGGCTTACCCCCTTGGAACACTCTCAGTGTGCCTTGCTGGGCCTCTGCACACCAGCCTGAACCTTCTTTGTCCTCTATGAGCCTCCTTAGCCATAGCCAGTGGAAATGAGGGGAAGGGCTGGCCACTTGACCTGGGACTGCCCCTAACCCACAGTGGGACCTGAGGCTAGTGACTCCTCTAAATCCCTGTTTCCTGGTCTGCATCATGGGATATAAAAAGGGCCTTTCTGGGTCTTTTGTGGGAGTAAAGTAGCCCCACGGCGAGGGCCAGAGCCTCCCTCCACCAAATTTCTGTCCCCACCCTCTATGCTCTTTGGAACCTGTGAGCCCTCAATTCCAAGAATAAGGCAGTCCGGGCCCATGCTGCTGCTCTGGGCAAGGACACAAGCTGCAGGTTGGGTGAAAAGCAGTCCCCACTGGCTGACAGGACTCTACTGCCCTGCTGCCCAAGATGGAAGCAGTTCAGGGCAAAGCTGCTCACGGAACAGCCCACACTGTTTGTTCTTTCCCATCTCTCCACTGGGGTGCCCTGTCCACGAGGGACCTTTAGGTTCCAGATGGAGGAAACTGAGACACCAAGAGGTGAAGCTCTGCCATCTCCGGGGGCAAGGCCACGGGAGTTCACTCTCTGGTAGTCTGCAAACAGGGAAACTGAGGCACACATTGGCAACGAGTCTTTCCCACCTTGTGACAGCGGGGACTCAAAAGGGGGAGAAGGCAGTTCAAGGAAAAAGCTTCCGGACTTCCCAGGAGCTGGGCAAAGGCAGACCTGGCCTCAGCTGCTCTCGGTCCACTCGGACCCAGCAACCTCTTTCCTGGGTCCGGGGTACGCGGGCCAGAAACTGGTCCTTTGATCTGTGCACTGAGTGGAACTGGAGGCGGGACTCGAGACCTCCTCTCCGACCACAGCCTCGGGGCGCCGCAAGTCTCCTCTAAGCGCCTTTCGGTGCGGGCCGGAGCGCTGCGCCAGGGCCGCGCCGAGGGAGCTCGGGAAAGAAAGCTGCCTGGAGTCTCGGCCGGCGGCGTCTGCTCCGGGTTGTCCAAAGAAAGGGTGAGAAATCCTCACTGGCCACAAGCGTGCCCGAGCCCCTCCCTGGGCCTCCGCTTCCCGGTTTGCGCTAAAAGGGCGATGAACAAAATGCCGAGACATTCGCATTTTTACGAAGTCTCCCCACTGGGTCCTCGCCTGCTGCAATCCTGGTCTCGCCTGGCTCCGGGTCGGTGCTTCGGCTTCCCGAAGTCCGTGTCTGTCCCGCCGAGCCCAGAGCCGCCCCGTAGGCTCCGGGAGACACGCCACTTAGGAGACCCGACGTTTCTCAGCGCTGTGCCGCGCTTCCTCACGGCCCGGACCAGGACCCCAGCACCTCGCGCCCAAACCCGGGCCGGGCTTCCCGAGCCGCCGCGGGTGCACCAGGTCTCGGCCTAGCACCCAGGACGCCGGGCCGCTGCCGGGGGCAGCCCTGCTACCTCCTCTTTCGCTTTCGGTTCGGTGCACGTAGGTTTTCGTTGCGAGCAGATTGCTCTCCAGGACCGGATGGCTGCGCTCTCGGCGCCGCCGGGGTCTGGGAAGACTCTCTGAGGCCAGAGACTCTTGGGGCGCCGCGGAGGAACTGCTCATGATTTTTCGAACTAAACGCAGCGCATCAACACAATCCACACACCACGAAATGTGTAAACTCGCCTGAGTCTATTCGAATTTAGTCAAAGAACCGGGGCGTATTTTTGTAGCGAGAGACCCCCCAAAACAGCAAGAGATGGAGACGCAGGAGGAAGCAGAAAAGCCCGTGAGTGATTGTGGAATGATCGAGACTAAACTCGAGCCTGGGAGCAGTGGCATTGTGGCGGTGGCGATTCCTGGTCAGTTTTCCTGGTGTAGAAAGATGCTTTTAATTTTTTACTTCGTACATTTCCACAGTCGCCAGCCTGCGGTACAATTGCTCGCCAAGCCAGAACAATCCGGTCTCAAGGCATACGTTTTTAAACGGAGAAACCGAAGGCTACCTAGATTAAGGTTCTAGTATTATTTTAAATCAATCGATGCCCACAATTCTTTTCTTCATTATCACTTACATACAGTAAAACACGCCGCTTTTAAGTGGAAAGCTCAAATAATTGTTACGTGCGTGTCCACCAATGGCCCTGGCTACCACTCTGATCGAGACAGAGAATATTTACAGCATCCTTAGTATGAAATCTTTTGGGGATTTTTTTTTAAGCTGTTATAAGAACATTTCAGAAGACTTCGGGGCCGAGGACCTCGCCTTATTCCCTGTCGGTAGTGTTACTTGAGCAGAGTGGCCTCTGCGCCGTCCCGGCTCGTGTGCGAGGGTGCAACAGGATGCGTCAGAAACCTCGCGGCGCCCGGGTGATCCTGGAGTCACTGAAGCCCAGGGCAGTCCGCGCTGGGACGCGAGGCCGCGGTAGGAAAACAAGTTAAGGCTCTTTCCGTCAGAACGCGCCAAGGTCCGGAGGACTTCCATTTTGGAGAGCCGCCGGGGTACTTTTTGTCCAAGAATGTAGCTTCACCGCGACCTGAGCCACTTTCTCTCTTCCCACAGCTGTGTGCACGGCTTGGCTTTGGTGGCAAATCGAAATATTAACTGGAAATTCATCGCAGCTGCCAGGGCTAAGGGGAGATTGGCACCCGCGAGATTGTCTGAGGTTCAGGCATCTCCGGGGACCCTTGAACACGGGTCCTCGAGGCTGTAGGCGTAGAGAGGCAAGAACTGCTGTCCGAAGCCCTGGCAGCTCGGCGGGCATGGGGAGTTGGGAAGCTGTGCTCGTACCACAAGCCTCTCCCTGCCTGGAAAGCGGAGCCGGGCAGTGGGTGCGAGAGCACTGCTGGTCAGAGAACTGCTGGCACTCAGCCTCGGCCGGCAGTCCTCGCTCAGGAAGACAGGGGACCTAGCCCTAGGCTGGGACACCGCTCTTGAGTGGGGTCCTGAGAGCGTTTTGCTGCCTCCGGACGCCGCCTGCCGGGCGCCACCTGGACACGTGAGACCATAGCTTCGGGGTTCCCCAGAAGTTGCTCTAAGGCTTTGCTCCCCCCGCTCTTCACTGCGGTAACAAGGCGGGTTATCAGATTAGAAATGGAGGCGACGAGGACCTGGCTACGGGGTGATACCGCCCAGGGAGTCCACTGTCCAGTTTTGCCAGGAGGCCGCAGACGTCACACATCATCCTCCAGGCCAGCAGCCCCGCAAAGAGC